ATATATATATATATATATATATATATATATATATATATTATATATACCGAGCGAATATCGAAACGCCGGTACGGTACAAAATTTCAAACCTTGCCGCTTGGTATACAGTAGGTATCATACCATACCGAGCATATCTTGAAATTTCAGTATGGTACGAAATTTCAATCCTTGCTTCCATTGCATTTTTGACACTTTCATTAGTAAAATTATTACAAGCATAAAGATCACATTTATATTGAATTCCTTGAGCAAATCAATGTGTCAATTTTGCATTAGACTAGAACATTTTCAAAAATAATTTATGCAATTTTGGGTACCAAACTTGTGTGGGTCCATGACCTATTCAAACATATCATGTGTCCATACTACAGAATTTACCATGTGCTGACCAAGGGGTGTAGGAGGAAGAGGAAGAGAAATGAAGAAGAGGAGTAGGTAAAGAGAAATGAATCAGTGGTTTTTAAAGTTAAAACTAATTTCTGTCTTAAATTCAAACCATACCGTACCGATGCCTAGAGGTTAACAACACTATTTCACAAAATTTCTACCAGGTCCTAAGTTTTTAGCCAGTTTTAACACAAATAAATAAAAGAGAGAGAAGTAAATGGAGGGGACTTAACAAACACAAGATAGCTACAACTTATAGAATCTAACAAGTACAAAATCTATATCATGAGATTAATTTCTAAGTTGCTACCAGACTTTAGATAATTAATCTACAAATTTTCTTGCTGGTTCATTTTTTTCTTGCTATAAATAGCATTTCTTTAGTAAGAAAATAATATATCAAAAATAATAAATATTCATCATTGAAGAAAAATAATCTTTCTATTATTTTCCAGAAAGAATATGCAAAAACATACCATCTCGTTGATTTCAGCTTCAGCAAAAGATTTTCCATCTGCAAGCATAGTCCAGACAACCTTATCGATTCTCATGGAAATTCGCGTAGCATATGATGGGCTTTTGTTCTTTTCTTTCTCCATTAGACGTAGTTGTGCAGCTTTTTGCAAAGCCATCCTCAATGCAGAAGATGCTGTCTTTCTGGACTTCTGTACATTTAATAGCTCTTTCTTCAGTCCTTGCACCTGGTAAAATGATAAATACCGTAGGGTGAAAAGAAAAGAATTAGCTTTGAAACTTTCTATCATGTGGGAGAAGTACCACCAGTTCTGTCAAAAATTCTGTAAGGAGGATGTGCAGGTTTCAGTTATCAACTAGACTGGTACCATGCCAGCATATCAGGCTGTACACCAACCCGTAGATCAACAAAAAGCTAGGGAAGTATACATTCAAGTGCGAGTTCCCGATTGAGCGAACATCATTTTACACTTGAATGGATGTTGTCAGTTAATATCATCCTTGCGGACTAATAAAGGATCTACTTAATGGTAGCCAAAGATATATCAGAAAATAACATAAAAACTTTTAATTCTGGCATCTCATTTGAGCTGAAATCTTACCAGCACTGACTTTCCACCAGTAATCATCCACAAGTCACCACTCTTTTCCTGAGAGCACAGATCAGAATAATAATCTCCCAATAAGGTCCTAATGTCATCAAGTAGAAGCTTCCTCTCTCTTTCTGTTTTTTCAAGGTGGATTTTTGCAAGTTCCACCTCTTCAACGCCATCAGGAACCACCTCGTCAGCTTCTTCCTCAACATCTTCATCATCATCATCAGATGGATAAGAAAGGCTACTTTTACGAGGCCTGGCATGTAGCAAGAGAATAATCAAAATTCAGTAATTTCCTTTCATGTCGAATTCCACTACTATGAACAATATAATCACACTTTCACAACAACCTGAAGAATTTATAAAAGCAAAAGCATAAGAACACATAACAGGATAGACAACTAGAAACATTTAAGGACCTTGGCAGAATACACTAATACAGTAAATTATCCAGTACCACTTATATAATGATTAACTCCAAATAACACCACCTCAAACCAAAAGAATTGGTCATTTCTCACTCTAAATGATAGGCTATGAGAAGAATTTAAAAAAGAAAACTGCAGAAGATACCATGCTCACGTAGTTAAGAGGTCTAGAAAGAAAGATGATTAATGGTAAAGCCATCATACATGTTAATACTCGTGAATGATGCAGAAAGTGTGAAAAGTATAGGAAAACAAAAAAAACAAAAAAGACCATAATAATTTATGCTTTTAATTTTTAACCAACATTTTACAGTAAATTTTGAATAGACAGCTAATTTGGATATATATTAAGATTTTCAAAAATCATGATAAATACAAGAAAAGATGAATTGATAATAAGAAAGAATCATTTCTGAAAACACAAGTTAAATGAAAACTTGGTTTCTCTAGAACAAACTTCAATGCACCTCCAATCAAGTCCAATCTATAATGTTCAAGTAAAGCGTCTAGTATTTAATTCATGATCTTAAGGAAATAAAATTACATACATGCTGCTTTTGCCTAAAAAAATGGTTCCATTCCAAATCATGATTTTCAACTAATAACCGACTTCACAAAATTTTGCAAAAAGCTGTCAAAGATAATATAACCTTAGCTTAAATTTTTTTAAATACTAAATTTCTTCATTCCAATATTAAATAATATAACTATAATCTTTTGTTGTCTTCTAAGCTTCTTGCTGCAGATACTAATTTTAGAAAAAAATGATTGATTACCAACAACATAATCAAGTTGGACTTTATAATCTAAAGGCATTGCTCTACATATTACCAGCACCATCAGTGCCAACTGGCAGATACCATTGTGCCAAGCCAGCATCTGAAAACAAATTAGAAAAAGAAATATTCATATTTTAAAGAAGATTCAATGAATTGGTTAAAGGATTAAAACTGTAGCTTGTTGCCAATCAGGGTTTTGAATACCGGTCCGTATCGACGTAGCGAGCTCTGCTCGATACGGTACATACCGGTATATACTATCGGTATGCTAGGGCGTACCGATGGTACACCCTAAAATCTTAAAAATACCTTCACCTACCACGCCAGGGCGTACCGATCGATATGCCTCGATAACGGACAAAATCCGGGGCGGTACCGGTCAAAACACTAGTATTGCCTGGTAGAGGATGGTCCACGTATCGGTAACCTCTCGGACCGGTACGTACCACCCATATTGGGCGGTACACAAAAAAATTGAGAACCCTGTTGCTAATGGCATCCTTTCTTATTCAAGACCTATCACTGGGCCTCATATCCCTAGGCATATGTGCTAGTGATAAAAAGTCCATTATTAGTCACCATCATTTCGGGCTATTAAACAGGACACCCTGATGATAGAAGATGAGATAGCCGACAAAAATCAAGATAGAGATTAGTGACAACCAAGATTGTGACTATTGTAAAAAGGCCACCCTCATATTCATATTGCTCGAGTCAAATAATGTTTTGACATAAAAAATAGCTTGATCCATTTTTCACCAAAGAAACCTTCTCCACTACAATACATTTGCCCGATCCAAGGTGGCATGCACTGTAACCAAAATTATTATCTGAAATATTCTATTTAGCACAGAGCTCTATGTTAGGGATTGAGCTCACTGATGACCAACTTCACTATGATTGCAAGGACAGTAGTTTTAAACCTTAAGGTCACAACAAACTCACAAGATACCTAGTATTTGAGTTTTTAGGACTTTCAAGCTATTTTGTTCTTAGGTACATTTGATGGTCAGAGTTGTCCGCATCTTTTAATGAAAAAGACATTTAATCTCCTCATAATGTGCAAGTTTAATTGGTTTGGAGATGCATGATCAAATATTTTATCCTTACCTGGATTATTAATTCAAATTATCTACATGTTAAGATAAGAATCTAATATCTTATAGTGTCTGTAAGCCAACAATTCAAATGACATATTAACCATCTCAACTAATATTACCTTGAATCTTCATTAAGAATTCTCTTAATTTTCGAAATTTGTTCTGCAATGTCTAGTATATACCTTCTTGTTCCTTGCATCTTATTCTTATTGGCAATAGCTATACCAGACCATCTCAAGTTATAGCTCAATCTTTAACTTCAATTGCTATGTCATCAATTTCTGTTGGTAAAGATAGCAAGTGCATCATCATATTGACAATTGTAAATTGCATCATATATCACAATTTACCAACCAATACCACAACTGTCTAATACCTACCAGTATGAGTGTACAAACAATCAGTATTGAAACATTAATAGTCCTTAGTATTTTTTATTGGTGTATCAAAGCATAACATATAAGTATAAAATAGAATCTCACCATCCTTGGTCTCCCTGATGATGACCTGAAAAAGCTTCTAACTTTTCCTCTACACTCCACATAGCTCCTCACATGGCCACATTGTGCCTTGCAGCACTAACAGAAGGCATGTTGTCTTTTTGTCATGTAATTCTGTCCAGTCCCTAGCAAAATGGCCGTGCTAGGTGACACAGCATGGAATGCAACATTTTGATAGCCAACCAGCACCAATACTGTCACTAGAACTTACGTCCTTGTGCACATGTATCACCCGATGCCCTGTTGGCACATACTTCACTAATGTAAAATTAGTTTGTCGGATTAAGAAGTAGATAGTAGCCCCTTAAAAATATTTTTCCTTCTTATTAGTTGCCAAACTGATTTTGTCTTTGATAAGCCATCCATACAAATTTTAAAGGACCAATTTGATCCAAGATACATGGAGCCAACTTATGTTTCTTCTCATACTAATTGAGAAGCCATCCTTTGAATAAACCTGACACTTTTGGGTGCACATTGTGGTTTCATGATGTCATTAGAGAGGACTTCTTTAGGAATGTGGTCTCTTCCTCCTTTCTCCCTTTTTCTCTCTCGTCTCTCCCATTTCATGGTTTTCTATTCAATTTTTGCAGATTAATCCATGACAACATGATTGTGGACATCATCAAGTCAATAGAAAAATGGCCCATTTAGTATTTTGATAGTTATCCCTTTTCAAGCTTTAGCATCCATATCATTCTACAGTCTTATATGTGTTGCTAACAAGAGGTTGATTCAATAATCAATATATAGTGTAAAGTATAAACACAGTAAAAGCAACCAAGTAATTAGCCTGAAAAATGAGAAGCACAATGAGATTAGGCTTTAGAATGGTGCTTTGGGCATGCATCAAGTTGTTCCATGTAAGGTTTAAGATAGACTTTTAATTAGCTTTTTCTTCTTGAAGCCTTCAAAATGAGGCAGTAAATCTTTAAGGTCAGTTGAACAACACTCTAAGTGAGCTTTCAAAAGTGGGGATTGCTGGATATTAGATGCAATGCTGTTTCAAGTGCTTGTGTCTCTCCAAGTTCTATCCATCATCAAATTTATCAGTTCTTGCTAGTCGTGCTCCAAATCTGACATTAGCTACAAACAAGGTTGAAAAATCTTACAATTCATCTGTTGCTTCTGCAATTCTAAGAAAATGTGAAAAAGCAACACCTCAAACTGAGAAACCAGATCCTAAGCAAATAATGCTTTAGTATTCCCATGTAAGGTTTGCTAACATATTTAATCCATAAGTCTTCAAATTAATCAATTTAAAGTAAATTATTTGATTAAAAAATTTGAACAGTCAAAAAGCAACCAGCAGAAAAATAGAAAGGTCAATTTTTTGATGAATTAAAAAGTTAAATAAAAAGTTCAGAGCGTTACTTTGGAGGCCTGGCAAAAAGAAGATTGCTCAGAACATCCAGCATGACCTGAAACTGGCGTGAAGTCATTGTTGCGGTAATATTAGAAGAGTTGAAGGAGAGTTCTTTAAGCGGCTTCACCTGGATTCCCAATGTCAAGAAGTAAAGCACATGTTTTACAAATTGCAAGCAATAGTTCCCTAAAATTAGTAGCCAGAAAATTTTCAAATGACACATAATAAGGATGATCAATATTCTCATGTACAATTATTTTGGATAATGCTCGATATTGTCATATCTTACTTTCAGATCTGCAGTTCCACCCTTGTGCCTAGTATAGCGAAAGTACATCTCACAAGGCATAAATACCCTTTCTAGTAAAGCACCAGTTCTTTTCACTTTTGGTGAGCTTCGCAGAATCTTAGGTAGCCACTGAAGTCCAGCACCTGGATCAACATCTGTTGGTGCAACATGAGCCTGAACATGTTCAAGCATCACAGAATACTCAGCTCGCTTCCAAGTCATTTCAGGCTGAGATTCTGGAATTTTTACATTGCTAGTTCCAAGGGCTTGTTTGATCATTTCATATCCAACATGAAGAACTGAATGAAATGAACGAGATAAGACACGGCCACTGGCAGCAGCAAGAAGAAATCTACCCTGGAAATCAAGAACCAGAGTGAAGAACATATGCAATTCATTACAAAAGGCACACATTTGTTTATTGCCTTGTCTTGATTATTAATAACTCGAAAAAAAAGGAGAATATTGCTCCTAGAATGAGAATAGAACAGTAAATGTCTCTATGAGTCTGATTCGTAAAACACCCACAGTTAAAAAGGTAGATTTTATAAGTCATCTATGAGCATGAATTATAGGCTAATAATTATAAAATAAAGTAACTGACACATACAAAAGGTTACTACCAAGGTAATAAAGTTTGAGCTGAAGACATAAAAGACTAAGAAAGGAAAAAAGGTGGCAGTCATAGTAATCTAGAGGCAGCATAGTTGAAAAAAGGAGAGAAGAATTATTTGACTTGGTCTTGACATGAAAAAGAATCATAATTGCACATGTAAAGGGGTTGAAAAATATCAAATTGTTAATACCACAAAACAATAGGACACTAAGTACATGGCATTATGGCTATTATTGTAGTCATATAGATAAAATTTGAATGTCAAATAAAATACTAAGAAAAAAAGTTTACTATTAGGAATTATTTAGGATTAGCCAACTTGATGTTAGGAAAATATGGCAAGAGGGCAAACTATTAGGAGAAAAAGTTCAATAAACTGACCTATACCACTCGGGATCATAGAATAAAATAATAAAAGAACAAAATCAATCGTATTGAACTAGCAACGAGATATCTTTTGAACTGGTAAATACTGGTTAGTAAGTACCAGTCCAATTGGTGTTTAAGTCAACATCCCATTATTCCATAAGTTTTTAAAAATTTCATACACACACACACATATATATGGTTTGTCTTACCGATCAATACCGATGTACCGACAAGCTACAGGTATAGCACGTACCAAGTTGTACCAAGTCATACCGAGCATACAAACACATGGTACATGGGACGTATTGATGTACTGCCCATATCAGTCTCCTATTAGACTAGTACATATTGCCCGTACCGAGCGGTACACCATGGTACAACGAACTATGTAAATGTACATATATATGTATATATATATACATGTATGTATATATATATACATGTATATATATATATATATATACATGTATATATATAGACATATATATATATGTGTGTGTGTGTGTGTATGTATATACATATATATATGTATATATATATATGTATATATGTATATATATATATGTATATATATATATGTATATATATATATATATATAAAGTTATATCTTTTAAAATTTTTGGATACAATCCTTGATAGAATCCTTTGTTGATCTCATGGTAAAATTGCCTCAACATATCTATCGTACAAGGTTGTGAAAGGCAACCATCAGATGCAATTTAGTTTCTTTATCTTCCTAATTTTGTTTGAAGAAACTGCAGTAATACGAGGAATGTTGAATTTCCCATTGGAGGCTTATATTGTTCATCAGATGCAATTTAGTTTCTTACGATGCATTAGTCTGGTGGAAAATTAACATTCTAGGAAGATGGATCAGGAAATATGTCAAGCTATGCAAGAGTGTTAAGCCTTCATTTGTAGCTTTCTATCTACTATTTGTGGGACCTTTTCTCCCCTACTTCTTTCTCTGCTACTCTCATCTCTTTCACTTTTCATTTTTTTCTCTCATACTGCTTATTTCACAACCTTAATAAAATAAGATCATACCCTCGGCCTGTCTTTACCAATTAAGAAAAGAGCATATCAAATGCAAATCAATAGGACTGTTAAGTTACAGCAATTTCAATCTGCATTGGTTTCTGGATTTGGAAAGCTCTTCCATTTGTATTAATTGCAAAAGAAGAAAAAGAACATATCAAATGCAACTTTATGGGGCTAAAGCAATTTCAATCAGCTTAAATTTTTGGATTTGGAAACCTCTTTTATATGTATTTATTATTAAAGAAGCCTCTCACGTGGAGCAACTTGTTTTCAACTTCTAACAAAAATCAAAACACATCATGCTCAACAAAATTAAGAATCTAAGATTACTATTGTCCTGTTTAAACTACGATATCTTTCTCAAAGCATTAGATGGATCAATCAATTTAGTCATCTACCAGGAATGACAAATAGAAGCATAAAGCATTATACACTATCAAATATGTTTGTATGAGAGATCCGAAGACATTAAAAGGAAGTTGCATATTCATTCGAAGTTTGTAACTAACCCTGCAAGGCATGTGTACAACTATGATAATGAATAAGTTTGGACATGCATGTAATATAAGCACTGAAAACTTGCCTTACGTATTAGCAATAATCCAACTAGTATTAGATATGATTATCTAACAAGAATTATCATGTTGTTCGTTAGTGTGCATATTGAACATTAAGCAGCATGATCGGTAAATAAAGGATGACATACAAGGTGCCCACAGAGAATCTTGTATGCCTACCCAGCCCAGAAGTATTGATCCATACAAATATTTGAGAATCGATGAGCAACACAAACACAAATAATCAAAAAAGGGTGGTGTGTACATTCTGTCAGAGATTCTAAGCAATGTATTGTGCTTCACATTAGCAGCCTTGCATGCTAGTTTGACAACGTACAGGACGCCAAAAACGGGCCAATGTAGGCGTGGATCTACCAAGACTACCGAAACTACCATTCAAAAATCATGCTTGAAAGGATTGTCGCAATAGATTCACTTCCACTTAAGTGAATCAATAGGCCTATATCCTGTTGGTAATATAAGAGGGACTGTCCATGTGTTGTGCCCAAATATCTTAAGAATACCAGTTGCACCAAAGAAAACTAGGCTACTCAGTGGAATAAGTGCACTACTAAGATTTTGCCAAAGATGGCATGGGATGAGCTTCTTAACTGAAGAAGCATGTTAGAAAAGAATGTCCCACAGATCCTGCTAGAGTAAGCAGGCATATATCTTGTTGGCAGTAGAGTAGGAGTGTGTGTATGTGTACTGTGATCAAGTTTCTTAAAAATCCTTGTTGCACATAGGAGAATGTGACCATGTACTATGTCCAAGTACTGGCAAATACTTGGGTACATCCATTATTAATATGACAGGACATGAGGTGAAACAATGTCAACCATCACTACCTAGGTTAACTGTGGTCCCTAACAAACAATATCATCACATGAGCATACAAGGAAAGGGAAAGGGAGGGAAGAAAGGAGGGACAGGAAAAAGGGAGCAAGAGGAGGAATGAGGAAGAGAATGCAGAGGAGCAGAAGAGAAGGTGGAGGAGACAGCTGCAGAAGAAGAGTGGTGAAGCAGTGAGGCAGGGACGATGAGACGAGGCGGCAACCGTGGGTGAGGTGATGTTAATGAGGCATCTATGATGAGGCAGTGGAGCAACGATGCTGGTGAGGCAGTGGAGAAGTGATGGCAAAGTGGTGGAACTATGAGAAAATGGAAAGGAGGGAGCAATGACAAGAGAGAAAGGGAGAGAGAGAAGAAAGGAGGGAAAAATGAAGAGAAAATAATAAACAAAGAGCTGTCAGCAATAAAATAAGAAAAATTGAGTACCAGGTAGTATCCTTACCATCAGATTCTCTGATTTTATTCATTAAAACTGGGCGGCAAAACCAGTTTGAAAGGTTTAACAGGTGGTAATCCCTATTTTGGAGCGGATTGGGTATCCTTCATTTCGGTTTTGTAGGGTTACTGGACAGTGACCCTGTTTCAGATTGAACAGAGCGAAATCACACAGTCCGCATCTTATGTTTCAGAATACTGGTATGTATAGACCAGTGATTTAAAAAGCGCTAGGCGCCAAAAGGCGTCAAGGTCCAAAAACGCCCGAGGAGCTAGGCACTCGCCCAAGCGCTCGCCTGAGCAAAACGAGACGCTAAAATATAAAATATATAATATAATTAATAAATATAATTATTTAAAATTTTAAATTAAAATATGCTATTAAATTAAGAAAATCTATTAATAGTATTAAAAATTAATAATTTCAAATAAACCTAACAATATTAACAGTATACAGTATACTGCTAACAGTATACTGTATACTGTTAACAGTATACTGTATACTGTTAACAGAAGGAGAAGAAGGAAGTGTAAGGGGGTGCTGAGCCTGCTGACTGAGAAAAAAGGAAGCAGCAGCGGCAGCGGAGTGTAAGGAGGCAGCGGCAGCGACGGGCAGCGACAATGGTGACAGCGGCGAGCAGCAAGAGCGGGAGCGGCGAGCAGCGGGAGCGGCGAGCAGCGGGAGGCGCGAGCGACGACAGCGGCAGCGTTTGCGAGCAGCGACAGCAGGAGCAGGAGCGGCGATAGCGACAGCGGCGAGCGGCAACAGCGGCAGCATTTGCGAGCAGCGACAGCGGCAAGCAGCGGGATCGGGATCGGGAGCGGCAACGGCGAGGGTTAGGGTTCGGTTGTCACTTATAGTAGTTTTAGTTGGTTCGATTGAACCAACTAATCATCGGAGACTGAACCAGGACCGAACCAGACCTAAAATCCTGGTTCGGTTGCCTTGGTTAACCCAGGCGCTCGCCCGAAACGCCCAGCGCCTGGGCTCGGGCGAGCGCCCAGGCGACGCCTGTTTGAAGCACGTCGCCTGGGAGGTTAGCGAGGCGCTCGGGCCTCTCCCCGCCTCGCCCGAGCGCCTAGGCGAGCACCCAAGCGCCTTTTTAAATCGCTGGTATAGACTGATCCAATGGCTTTGTAGTACCTTGCTGATACCATAAGAGGCATTCTTTATCCTAACTAGTGATTGAGTTGCACAAAAAGTAATAACAGATATTGGTCACTGGCTTATCAAAGATACGGGTCATGGTCTCATGGATGCATGTTGCTCAAAGAAAAACAATTAGCTTCCGACATCAAGAATGCCATCAGACAAGGAATGCTAGCTAATTGTATTCTTCCTCTTCTTTGGCATGTGGGAGGGCATATCACACCCACTCTCATTTAAGGTAGATACGTATAATCCAATTCTATGACCCATTCAACAAAAGCAAACTCAAGAATACCATTAATTCTATTGCAATCTATAAATAAAATCTTGACAATCTCAGCCCAATTACAGAAGCTGAAGGCATTAATCATAAATATTCTAACCAATGATTAATTTCTCAAACTATCACCAAGTATGATCCAACCAAATCAAATAAGAAAAAAAGGACCACTGTTGACATGCAAACCAGAAAAAAAATTCAACAGATATAGTAACATATACTGTAGAGTATGCTATTAATGCTTGAAAGAAAATCATAAACAGGCCAATTTATGTTTCCAAAATTAAAACAGAATTCCACAAGCTGGTGTTTCAACACACATGGCATAGTTTACTCACATTAGCTTCTTCAGAGTGCAAGTTGAATTGAGGTTGAATGACATTAACCATAAAGTTGCGTTTACCCTTCTCCTCCGAGTCATCAATGTGTCCATGCTTTACTGGTGGATGTTCATTCCAAATAATTAGAAAACCATAAACACTTAATAGAAAGAAAAGATCTATAGGAAAAAAACAGTAATTGTTGCAGATAACTTTGGCAAAATAGAAGCTCTCAATTTAATCTAAAGTCAGAGATGGCATCACAAACATGTCAACAAGACAGTGAGTTTTCACATAAAATGGAAGGTAAAGTTGCAGAGTATGCATAGATCAGTAAAAATTAACTGGCTAAGGAACTTATTAATTTCATTGTTCCCATGTTTAAAGTGGTTGCTCAAAGAGTAAAAAAGTTCAATTACTCTACTCTAATAAACTCACCAACTATATCAGATTGTAAGCATTCAATTTTAGTAGAAGAAGATGCTGATGGATTTGGGTCCAAAATCTCGATTTGTTTGGAAGGAGAATCAGCTAAATGTGTTGCAGAACTGGAGGAGATTAAGTTATCACTGGGAGAAACCTCAGATTCATCCAACTTCTGTTGTTCTTCAGTCAACTTCCTCTGAGCATACTGTCGAGATGGAGAAGGTTTTGGAGGTTCAAAAGCCTTTGATATTCCACCTACCCAAGACCAGACAGCATCTCTGTTTTCTAGTGTCCATAGGAGTTTAAGGCCATATACGAATATCCGTTGGCAATTGTCAGCTATTACAACATTAAATCCATCATCATCACTAGGATCTGATCGTGTGTGATCACTCTCACTACCATTTTCAAACTCAGACCTAACATAGGTCATCTCAAGATTCTTTCTTCCAGCTTCTTGCCATGCCAATAGCCTTGCAGGATCAGCCTTTGGAGCTTGTCTTCGTATTGTGAAGTAATCAGAATATAAAAGAAAACCATCATCCCGACTTCTCTCTGCACAATTATGTTGATAACTGCATTTGTCATTGACTTTACCTGTCGTTACAGTATGCAAAGCTCTCTTATTTGTTTGGATATCCTGAACTGCAGATGAACTACAATCTCTATTCAGATATGCCTTCAGCATATGAAGGTCAAGACCTCGGTAAACAAGATCAAGTGGATCCCGCTTGCAGTCAAAGGTATATCGCTGCTTTCCTCTACTATAATATAATTCATATTTCAATTTTGACATTCTAAAAGTTAAACCAATTGCAGGATCATCATCACCCAAAGGCATATGTTTGATGCAAGTAGGTGTAGCATCAAGACGAAGGAAAAACTCAGTCATAACCTTGTCTAATGACAAGTTTCCAGATCGTGCAGCTCTAGGAATTCCAAAACGTGGCCATCTGGAGAAAGAACGTAATTTGTAAGGAGGGTTGTAATTTAAGTTCCACCATTTGAATACCCACACTAGGTCATGGGCTCCAAGATTCATAAGTGGAAAATCAACAGTCTCTAACTTCTGTGATGTATCATAGATGGCTTGATCCAGTATCAGACTGTCTCCAAATCCAGACGTAGCATTTCCATCTAGCAGAAATGGTCTTAGAGAAAAGTTCCACTTTAAAGAAAGAGAAGTTGAACGAAATGGATCATATACTTTCATCCGAGGTTCACGTTCGTTGGGGAGTGCATGTAAATAATGATTCAGAGGAGTTCCAGACTCGCATTCCCAGTCCAAGATCACCTCAAGAGAGAAAGCAGGGGAGTAAATAAATGGTCTAGAGACACTACGAGGAAGTTTCAAACTGCAACTTTTCAACAAACTCTCTAAACTGCTTATATAAATTCTAAACTCCTTTGCAGAAACAAGAACATGCCCATCAGTTTGCTGGATCTCCATGTAATCAGAAACAATCTGAAGTTTGTCCAACTCCTCATAGGGATTAGTTGTTGCAAGCAAGTTCCATCTAGTCTCATTAAAATTCAAAACAATCTTCCCATGGATGTAGTATCTCATATCATCCCACCATGGCAAGCTACGTTCTCTTTTAGGTGGCTGAGACTCCGGAACAAAATTTGTAGCATGTGGTGCATTTGAAGAATTTCGACCATTTGAATTGGAACTCTGGTTTCTGATGCTAAGATTAGCCCTGCGCAGGGCTACAGTAAATGCATAGCTAATATCAGCAAAAGCTGGCTCATAACCCACACCGAAAGAAATTTCGCCTTTCTGAAAATATATAGGCAAGTCAGAGTACATTTTCATTGGTGGAGTTGTGCCACTGGCTGAACGGAGCATACACACTCTTCGCCATCTACCAACGAATACATCTTGATGTATCTGAGGTTGAAAACAAGTTGCCTATAACCAAAGAGAGAAGAATAATATTATCATCATCATGTAACTATAAAATGCTACACAGCAGCTCATATAATAAAGATGACAAACTAATTCCAAGTTTGAAAATAAATCCTTCCCACAACAACTAAATGGACAGCCCAGTGCCTGAGGCTTCCATTGATGCAAGGTCTTGGAGGTCAATGCCTTACACCTGTAGGCAGAGAAGCTGTTTCCATCAGTTACCCAGGTCATAAAGGAGCACCATCACTGTGGTGCCAAGGCTTGCTAGCATCCTTAATATTGCTCTTGAATGACCCAATTTTAACCACAAACAATGCAATATGAGATATTGTACAGGATAATAACAAAAAATGGCTTGCACAATAGAGCATTTGAGCTTACCAATTTTAAATTTTTTTTCACAGTAATGTGGGCTAGAAGTGCATAGAAACATATATATCTTTCCTTCGTAAGGAGGAGAAATATTCACTTTCATAGAGTATAAGAAACTATAAAAGACGTTATTTATAAAATGTCATCTAGATTCTCAGCCGGCAAAGGAGACAACAAATTATGTAGCAATGAGCATGAAAAGAGATGAGCATAACTCCAGCAGTACAAAGCTACCAATAATTTCCAAGTTCATATTTCTATTTTGTTCAAATTATATAATGAACATGAAAAGCTTCCTAATGCCAGGCAATTTCAACAGAAACTTACCTAAAATGTTGTCACATGAGTCGCAAGAAAAGTATTTGTAATAGTAAAAAATATCTGAAGCCTATTGACTACTGGATAATAGTAATAAAAATCAGAATCCTATTGACCGCAGGTAGCTGCAGTAATGATATAACTTCAAGTGATCAATTTTAAAAAGAAAATAACATCTTAAGCTAACGAAGCAAACCGATATAAATTTAGAACTAGTATCGACTCACATAAGAAGCCTTCAGATAAGTGGCATCAACTACAAGGGATCTTATGTGCTACCTACCTATACTTTTTCTCTTACATAATAGACAACAAGATACAAACTACTGGAATTGAACCTTTGACGCTTTAGACCAGCCTTTCACGCTCAATTAAGATCAAGTGAAGTATTATGAAATTGCCAAATTACTTCTCCTAATCTCTGTACATTGGTCCTTGCCCAGAAACTAGGAGAAAGAAGTATATTTCCACATAACATACCTAAACAAACAATATATGTTCACCATTTCACGTAACTAAACAAACAAGATAAGTTCACCATTTCACCAAATAGACATCTTCTTTCGCAATCAAGACAGATTTGTGAATGCCCAAGGCTAGAGGTGGAAAACGAAAACACATGCGAATCCAGGGACAATTTTAAAAACTGAAAAGGATAGATTAATAGCATTCTAGTTTGATGGAATAAAACTAACTTATAAAATACACATCAATGATCAAGGATGATCAATCCAGCAAAAGTCCAAGTTCAGCCAGCACAAAGGCTCAAGCCCAATCTTAATTTGAGTTGGAATTGAATCAAGAAGACTTCACTGATTAGAAGTCCCCTGCGTGGGACCAAGAGTTGGAATCCGATTCAGAGTTTTCCAATTAGAAGTCTAGAAGTCTCCTACGTGGGACTAAGAGTTGGACTCCGATTGAGAGTCCTCAAGTTAGGAATCTTTCTCCTCTATAACTATAAGGGGGTTGACAGCCCTAAAAAGGAGGGAAAGGAGAGAGAGGAGACAGCAAGGGAGAAGCCTCAAGAAGCCAAGCTTGCATGCTCAAGAAGTCCCTTTGCAATTACATAACTAGGTATTCCTTTTTCAAGAAGTAATCTAGATCCTTAGTCTCTTTCAATTTTTTCTTCTTCCTCGTCAATCCTCCCACAAAGGGTAAATCTGCTCAAAGGAAGGATTCAATCATCAAATCCTTTCCCCAAAACAAATCAAACCAAGCAAATTGCACCATATAAGATTATATGTCAAGTTGATCAGTGACCTTTTAGTTTTAGTTGGTTGCATACTTTAACCAGTTGCCACCTGAGTAAATTTGTGCATAATGCCTATGAGCAAAAAGCATGCACATGGTTGAAGTGGCTCTCACTTGATATATTCAAACCACATTGGGTACACCTCACCTTGCCAAAGCATGTAGGTGAGAAAGGTGCACGCTAGTGATAAAATAAATATCCTACTTGTACAATGAAATTATGAAATATATATTATGTGCCCTCTAGAAAATAAAAAAATAGAAAAAAAAACCCCTTTGACTAGGATCAAATAGGCTTAAGGAAATCAAGTTTTCTCTTAAAAAAGAACACACATGCCATTAAGAGGGAAAGTGAATATCATGCACAAGGGTGAGTGAAGCCTGCCAATGGAAGAAAAAAATAAAAAGTTAAAATCAGGGTTTTTAATTTCGAATAATACCGTATGGTATGGACGGTACGTACCGGTCCGACAGCATACCGGTATATCGGACGGTAACGGTCGAAATTTCAACCATTACCACCTGGCATAGCTTGGTAACGGTCGATTTCGACCATTACCACTCGACACAACTCGGTAACGGTCGATTTCGACTGTTACCGATCTGTAACAGTGCTCCAACGGTCAAAATGACCGTTGGAGCCCTTTCTCATGGGTTTTTAAACTCATCTTCTCCCCTATTTCACTCTCACACTCTTAAACTATCTCAAACTCATTTTTTCTCATATTTATATTCTCCTAAACTCTACAAAGCAATGATTTGTGAATTGACAAATTCAAATAATTTTTCTCTAGATATTTTAATATTACAGAAGAGCAATCTGTAACGGACCGAAATATAAACCTTGCACAAGGCTATTCCTCAAAGTCCAAAAAAGATATATGATACTATTTTTACCTAATTTATATTGGTTTTGATAAACTTATACTATTACTATATTTATTTCTAACTTATAAACCCTATCCTAACTTTTTTTTTTATTTTCATGTATTTTCGAAAGATTTTACGCCTAAATTAGGTGTACTGCTCGGTACATAGTACGATCTTGTTAGAAGATCCTCCCCATCTCTCAGCTCTGGTACTGCTCGAAACTCCGGTACAATACGAAATTTCAATCCTTGGTTAAAAGATCCTCCCCATCTCTCAACTAATATGAGCCCTCCTTTTTTTTCTCTTCCCAGTTTCTAATATGATCTTGTTAGAAATTTCTATCTTGATTTCACACCTACACCATCTCATTTAACCCAAATCCACCTCTCCTCTTTGTGCCTCCCTAACTCAAGAGGGACATGGCTCTCCTCTAACTTGATCTCTTTTTCTCCTTGGCTCCTACCTGAACTCCATATATCTCCACTATTACAAGGTCAAGGCTTCTGAAATCCCAGCAACAATAAGGAGATGATGGATTTGTGCATTATTAGAAAAAAAAAAAAGGAATTGTTTGGTTCTCAAAGAAATATCTGCAAAAGATGGTCAACCGTGGCCAGATTAACTGTTGAGATTTTTTGCCCTTTGAAGTGGATGGCAGACAGATTTTTTTCCCTTTTACCTAGAGAAGTTCTAAGAGGTCACAGATGAATGAAAAAGATAGATAAAGATATAATGTAGACTGCTACAAATGTACTCAGCAGAGAGAAGGTGTTTAGTGTGATTATGTTTAGGGAAGCTGTTAGTACAACAAGCACAGTTAAAAGGAACATATGATGAACACAATAAATATAATGACCAAGAAGCAAGTAAAAAATGAGTTGAGCTCAACCTGTTGAGCAAACACAACACGTCCCTTACATTTCCCAGCAGTGGCAGAAAAGAGAGGCAAAGTATAATCTCTTAGTTGGGCAACCAAAGATCCAGCATTTACATCAACCTCTCTTCCATAGAGACGGGAGAATGGTATATCATTATCTGAGCAGACAGGATCAATCTTCTTTATAAATTGGACCATTCCAGGATCACCACCTTCAATTCTGGTCAAAGTTACATCCAAGTCTGTAGCACAAAGTGATAGAAGTGAAGTTCTACGACTACTTGGTCTGAAACCAGCTTGGAAGCCTCTGTGACATGCGCCAGATCCTTCTGCATGTACTATCTTCTGACATGCCAGATAGTAAGATTTAAATGCCTTCTTATGTATGTCTTCTTGTAATCTTTCAATGGATGAAACATCATTTAAATCAATCTCGACTCCATTATGAACTATTCTTCTTTCAGAATTGAGATCACTCTGATCACTATTCCCCACAATTTTGCTAACAGAAGAGAGAATTTCATCAAGAAACTTCATCCGCACAGCTGACTCACAAACTTCATTTCTTATCAAATGATAATGCTCATCAAGCCAGCCTTGTATCGGTTCTTCTTCAATTTCTGCTGTGAGTTTACGTATGACAAATCGGACAGATCCAAGTTTTTCTGATCTGATCTTTGTTGTCTTTGACTTATCCTTCTTAACAGGGGAAATGTGACTGGTTTTAGAAGCAGTAATAAGCTTCAAGCCCCGGAACATATCCTCGACAGCATCCTCTATAGCACGTAACTGTAACCGATAAGGCATACAAATATGTACATCAAGTCCTTGAATAACCCAATCCCTTGTGATCACAGGTTGTGTCTTTGTATCATATACGTTACTTGGTGGAACTGGGATACATGAGATTTGCATGCGGCTGCTTTTAAAAACCCTAGCGCTATTAAAACTAAGCATAAGACCTTCAAGTAAAACACCTATCCTGGCATTCTCTGAAAAAATAGACTGCACATGGATCACTGTTTCCACGCCATCTGCAACTTCAGCAGACACTCTTAACATCTCAATATCAACAGCAAAAATTGCCTCCCTTTTTTTAGGTTGTTTTTCAGCTCGTACTTGGTTTTTTGTAGCCATTTTTTCTCTTTCCATCTCTTTCAAAGTATCAGTTGACAACTTTACATCGTTGTCATAGTGTTGGAGCTTGCTATTTTGCAACAGGCATCTAACACGAGTAAAAATTTCATATAGTGCTAAGTGTGCATCAGGTTCCCATCTGGCAGTAATATCAGTTACACTAAATAGGGAACAGACAGCAACATCAGTAAGCCCACCAGTTCGCCGCACAAACTTTGCATTTTGCATATCAAACAGTGAAACCTTATTACCAGGTTCATGGTCTTCAGTAAATTCCATATGGAAAGATCTAGCTCTCTCTAATTCCACCTGGGTTGATTCCTTTTCTCTATTCACACATAAACTGAAATGGAAGATGTCCAGAGATGTAGAGAATTTGAGAATCTTGCTCTTATTTGTTAACATTGAAATAATGCTTGCTCTCCGTGGTGTCCCATCAGCAGACACATTTATTAGTACTTCACCACCATGCGAACCAAAATTCACACGCTTTGGGTCGGCAACAATGGTGTCATCAACATTCACCTCACCATGATAACTTATAGAACATTTTTCAAGATTTAGTTTAAATATTGGTGCTCCTTTGGCTGAATTTTTGCCCAAGTGTCCTACATTATACTCTGTAGCTCTTTTACTAGAAGATGAAAAGGACTTAATCAGGCTCCTAAAGGACATTAAATTGTATACAAGAGACTCAACATGCTGAAAGCCAAAATTTATTCCCATACCACTTATATCAATAGAAAATACCAACATCCACCTACTTAGATCTTGCTTTTCTTTAGATTCAATTTCCTTTTGTCCCCAGTCTAGACTCAGCCGTGCAATGTGCACTAAGGAGCCTGAATTAGTATCCACTCCAAACACATTTTCCTTTATACACTCTTGGTATTCATCTTCCATGTGCAAATGTACTTCACCAAGTTCCATATGTATCTGAATCCCCTTACTTGCTATGTTGTTTGCAAACAGATGTGATGACTGTGAGCAACCCTGCGTCATGAATGAATGGTAAAAAAAAAGCATATTAAAGATAAAACTTATAAGAGGTAGGATAACAAGCAATTCAAACAGAAAGCCTGCCCTTGTGCCAGATGACACTAACCAAAAAAATGGCCTAGTCATACACAAGCACAGGTTGGTATGGCAAGTGCTAATACCATTTCAGAACAAAACATTTCAACCTAGCTAAAACGACATGATTGGGTTACAATCCTACTTAAACAAACATCATTCCAAAGCACATGGCATGATATCATGCTGTGCTACTTGTTGCCACATTACAGTGCCAGCTTCCATGGGCTAAACTTGGCCAAGGTGCATATTGGCACATCGGCACATATTGACATACATGATTTTTCCAACCTTTCACCAAGTCACATATTGGCCCAGATTGACAAACAAGATTATTCCAACCTGTGCCACCTGCCAATCGTCACAACAAACCTTGCTCCCAACAACTTGGGCACTATGTAGCAATCAAAACTGACAGCCGAGATAAAAAATAAAGGAAAGAAAGTAGAAATCTAATAGAATATTATAAGGAAAACAAGGTAATGACATGGAACAAAATTATAAGAACTTATCATAATTCATAAGTAAATATGATAGAACTTTCAAGCAACATATAGAAAATACTACAATATGAAAAGATATATATCTAACATTAATCAATGTTCATACAAATAGGTATGATAAGTTACTATTGCCATCCCAAATTGATGGGACTGCCCTGTCCCCATTTTTTACTTAAAAATACCTCATTGGGTCTCTTTTGAGATGTAAAAAAGGGCTAACAAACCCTCTTTTCACTAATAGCAGCCAAGGTTTGCAACTTCGTATACCGGTAATGTACCGGTCATAGCTCAGATCGATAAAGTACCAGTTCGAACATATGCACCAACCTATATACCGAGTCAGTACACCAGTACATACTGAGTTTTGAAATAAGTGTAGAAAATTTTGGAAAGACAGAAAAAAGCAACATCCTGATAAAGAGTCTATACAGTCCATTGAACGATGCCAGTCCTCTACTAGATGGTACAAGCTCTGTATGGGAATATCAGGCAGTATAAATACCAACTTTACCAAACCATAGGGGACGGTACTGCAAACCTTGCTAACAGCTATATTCCCTTCCCCTTACTGTTCACTCCTTTCCATCTATAAACTAACAAAAGCAATCTTCTTCCCTTCCTTCTGTCTCTCTTTTCCATCCCTCATCTTAACCATCTTCCCCTGCTTTCTCCCAGTAACTCAAGTTTTTTTCATATTCAAGAGCTTGTTCAAGGAGAAGTCTAATTTTTTAAGAACATATGAATTGAAAATCCCATGGTTAATCTCATCAAAATTAGGCAAATGTAAAGTTTATTCTTTGTTTAATGAGTTAATTTAGGGGCTTGATGTAAGGTTTTTAATCTCGCACTATACCAGTGTATCAAACTTTGTTCAGTACGATACGATACGGTGTATCAAGTGGTACACCTAAAAGAGGCATAAAACCCTCCAAAAATACCTGAAAATTATAAAAAATAATTAGAAAACGGTTTTTAAGTTAGAAATAAATATACATTTAGTATAGTTTTAGCAAAAAATATAAATTAGGCAAGAATAGTATCACATATCTTTTTCAGGCTTTACGGAGTAGCCTTGGGCAAGGTTCGCAAGTTTTGTCAGTTCTGGATTGTCCTTCCGTTAATATTGAATTATCTACAGAAAAATTATTTCAATTACTAGATTATTTTATATACAACTTAAACTTTAAGATTCAAATGAATTAAGTAATTACATGTGTAGATATACCTGATTTTACTACCAAACGAACGACAAGCCTCCTCTGGTGGTGGATCGGGGTCCTCGATTCTATGTATCTATATATCAATATGATATGTTTGTTAGACCAAATCTTGAAAATGATCTCACGACATAATGTATTGATATATCGTATGTCATTGGTGCATCAATATGGTGATGATCGTAGGTTGATCGTCATGAATCACATGTCCGAGGCAGCTCCTGAGGTATGTATTAGTGAATGTCAAAACTTCTACTTTCGCTATTGATCTACTACTCTGTATCATACTGTTGCTCGGAGAAGTATGACCAATTATCACCGTACTGCTGTTGGTCGTAAAATTCTCCATAATACGATGGTTGTGAATAAGATGAGCTTCGTTCTGTGTATACGTTGTTTAAGCTCTATCGCATCTGCTCAAAATCGGCCGATATCAATCGGTACAGGTGAGTAAGGATCGAAATTTCAATCGTTACCACTCGATACAGCCTTGTATCGCCCGATACAAGGCTAAATACCTAATACCGCTTAGTAGTGGATGGTCCACATACTAATCTACTGGCGGACCGGTACATACCGCCCATATCGGGTGATACAGTATGATATTCAAATCCTTGGCTTGATGCTTGTTTAATGACTTAATTAGGGCCCGATTCACCTAATTTAGGCCTTGATCCTTGTGGATCAAGCCTAGATCCCCAAGGATCAAGTTGATCATATCTTAACCCACTTGATCTTTCCAATATACCATATTGATATGCAACCTCATCACATTGAGGAACCTAATCCACCGTCGTGAAATCACGACATTCATTTTGGCAATAGGGACAAGCATATGATCTTCTTATACAACCATTTTTATGTATAATTACTTAGATATCTCTCCACATATTTGTGAATTATGATGTATTCTTTAGATTCCATTAGTGTTCCTTTTCCATTACATGTTTCAATGCAATAGATGTTGTTTTATATCTTAAACCACTTAAATTATACAAATTTTGACTTTATTAGGTAGGAAACCCATGAAATAGGCACTTTTGGAGTTTCAAATGGTTAAACTATAAAGAAAGAGTATTGGACCTATACTGATCCAATCATAGACCAACAAGGCGCCAGCACCCGAAATGACGAACCATGGTCCTTGGAACCCTCATAATCATAGAAAGTCGACTCCCATAGCTAACTTAGATGCTCATTAATCCATGTGATCCTGTTATGTCTTTTGTTAAAGCTTCAGGGTATCGCAAGCATCCAACTCTAACCTAAAAGCTCGTTTAATCTAATGGTCAAACCTATGTACATTTGGCCATCTCGAGAAAACGCCAACCAAATGATTGTTTCAAATGGATCAATTTTCCACCTAGATCAATGTAGTCACAGTGGATGCACTACCAATGTTAATGATTATCTAAGTGATAGACATGCAACCAAGTCAAATCAATTTTATGTTTGTTAGTTGCCATTTTCAAACAAAGTACCAATTTCAAGTAACTCATTTAGCTGCACAACTAGACAATGTACACTTCATATTGAAAATACAAACAAACATCTATTTTAACTCTATAAAATGTAGGGCGAATCTGCATGGGTGTTGGCTGGATTGTGCAGATCTAAGGTGTTGGCTATTTTAGCTGCACAACTATATAATGTACACTTCATATTGAAAATACAAACAAACATCTATTTTAACTCTATAAAAATGTAGGCAAATCTGCGTGAGTGTTGGCTAGACTGCGCAGATCTAAGGTCCCATCCATGTGAATCTAGCTTAGATCTCAAATCTAGCCTAGATCCAGATGGTTCATGCCCAGACCTACACAAATTCAAGTCGGATATGTGTATATATTTATGTGCATTCCTGATCATACCTATGCATTACTGTTATCTCTTGCAATAGGACCAATGACACGAAAAAAACATACAGCAGCACTACGGATATAATGCAAGAAGTAAAATAATAAATATGCATATGAGGACAACTAAAATCACAGAATTGCAACACAATAAATCAATTGGGAGCACCAAGACAGCATTTCCAGTATTTGCAAATCATCAGTTCAAATATGCAACTTGCAATTATGATGACATAGAAAAGTCTCACCAAAGATGAACTTAATCACAGGATTATGAGCAACATAGTGACATACAGAAACTAGTCATATATCTGCTGATGATATCACAGAAACTAGTAATGGTCAAAGATAGAAACTACATAACCAAATATCTGCTGATGATAAGTAAAATGAAAAAAGAAAAAGTATTACTGATATCCTACCATTCTCTTGTCATATTTTGTAGCAAAAGAAACTCAAAAATACAATATAGTAATCATTCTTAGATAAGGAGATTTCAAGTGGCAGTAAATTTGTTCCTAGCTATAGAGAACTTACATGGTATAGTGGCAAACCAGTAAGGCTATAAAGGACGACAGTCATCTCTGGGGCTGAAACAGTACATGTCCACATGATGGATTTAACATGACTGGTTTCAGAATTCTCATTCTGAGACTTATTCTTCACAAGAACAAGGTTTTTCTTTTTGGACATGTGAAGCTGCAACCATGGCTTTAATCTGCTAATAATGAGATTGCACTGGGTGCCACCAAGCTTGATATCAACCTCAACTCTAATTGGTAGAAGCAGCTACAAACAAAGGCATACTTGAAGTTAGAAATCAAGATTTTAATCTTGAACGAACAACATGAACATATAGGCATACACATCCGCATGTAGAATTTAGGTGTAAGCAAGGAAGAAGTCAATTAGCTTCAATAACAAATCAAAAGAGCAATGATGGAAGATTCAAAACATCATGCAGGTATTATGGCAGTGAAACATGAAAAAAAAAGACATAAAACTCAGTTCATAATTCTACTTGTCATTAACAAGAATAATATTAAAAAATGGGTGATTTAGTGCATGAGGCACTTATCATACAGGATCTACATAGTATCATACTAGAGCTATGGCAATTGAGGAAAGCAAACTCAAACAGGCAAAGCAACAAAGGATAAATCTAAATCTTAAAATGAGAATTACAACAAAAACAACTGCAGTTCATCTGTGACGAACTTTTGAGCCAGTAGCTCTTTTTTACAAAAATTTAGATAGGACAATGTTTGTGGATGATATTGATGCTCATGTCTCAATTTGATACCGATCTCAGTCAGCATGCAGACAGGTATAGTAGCAGTACTGACTGAAGTGCAATCATTCAGTATAGGTCAATAATGTTCGAACAAAATAAAAAGAGAAAGAGAAGAGGCATACCAGTAGGACGACACAAAAACCTGGATGAGGAGAAGACAACGGTGACACAATCAGATGGAGGATGCAATGGCAATGATGTGGCAGGGAGAAGGGGTCGAAAGAGGAAGAAAGAGCGACAAGGAGAAAAAAGGACAAACAACTATCAATACCTTAAAATGTTGGTACCAATACTAAATGATAAGTTTACCACCTATACAGTTTTATATCCCTAACAAAACATATAAAATGAGCTTACTTTGCAGTACAGTCCATATCAAATCAAATTACGCAAAATTGTCCACATACCAGTTGACTATTGGACTGCATTGGCCCAACCTATCAATACATGTGATATTTTAAATGATGAACCTATATCAGCACATGATCCAGTTCTGTATTAGTATCAATACTGGTCCAATCGACTGAGATTTAAAACATTGTTTCCATTAACCAAGCTAAAAACAGCTCTGCTTGATGAAGAAAAAGATGCCTTAAAACTATTTTACTAGAAGCAACCTACAACTGCATCATAGATAGTAGCCAAGGCTAACTCATGACACTGATCTGACATTTCCTTTGGTCAACAGACTAACAAAATTGAGCAATAACTGTTAAATAAAATTCATCAACTTAAAAACCGTACAAGACCTAAACTACATCTCAAACAAATCTTTAATTCTGTTTAACTATGGAACATAGTATCTTACAGGAAACAATTGGTCGATGATTAAATGGGATGGCCTTAATAACCAAGTTTACTAGCATATGTTAATGCAGCCATTGCTTGACTTGAGTGAATTATGCCCAAGGTAAACGAATTGGTAACTACAATGGAACCTTCAATACTTCGAGAGAAATGATATTTTCTAGCGATGGAAATAGAGAGAAAAGTGGAGAAAAGAGCACGAAATGAAATTAAACAGAGAGATGAAAAGGTAGAAGAGAAAATGAGTAAACAGGAAGATTTTTATTAGAAGTAATACTTAAATTATATGCCTCAAGGACGACATAATTCACCTATTCTGAACCCATATACTAATAAAGCATAAATTCTACTCTATCTACAATTATGCAACCCATGATGAATCCTTCAAGTTCTAATTGGACTAAGTAGAGGAAATGTGCCAATTAGCTAGTTGTTGAAGCTTGTCCATGCCACCAACTCTTAATTGTACCCCAATTAGTTCCAAACATCTAGAGAACATTATCCTATAAACTGTATCCCCCAGTGTGATTTGAAGTCAATCCAGCAAAGTGTGGGTCCAGTAAGAATTTCTAAAGTGTATAGAGGTCAGTCCACATTGCTACTAGGACTAGGAATTGACCCACCAAATACCAAGGTATGCAATTTCGAATGGTACCGTCCGGTATGGGCAGTACATACCGGTCCGATGGTATACCGGTACGCGGACCGCCCGCTATCGGACGGAACGTGCTACAGTGATACAGTATTATACTGTAGCAATGCTACAGTGCTATAATAAGAGGAAATATTATAAACCGTTCAGTACGCCCTGATTTACTGCTCGGTATGCCCTAGTGTACCACCTGATACGCAGGTACCGTACCATACCGAGCCAACCTCGAAATACCGATACGGTATGGTATTGCATACCTTGCCAAATACTATCCCAAATATGCCTAAACTTGGTGATGAGTTAGCTAAAATGCTGATGAAAGCCTCCAAGTGGTCTAATGCTACTGGCATGGCAAGTGGGCCGGAATTCTAGGCTGTCCAAGTATATGACAGGGGCATCCAAGGCTACTGGACTCCGTTGTGAATGGCTATTTTGGCCTAGTCCTGAAAAACTTACACCGTCTTAAATAATTTGAACCTCTTTTCATTAGTATCAATCTGAGGAAGAGAAGTTTGGATCAGTAGAAATTTGTATTGTAACATCTTTGCAAATTGTACAGACTTTGACATTTCAATGTTAAGTGCCCTTGGAATTGCATTTTCTTATGCACAAGCTTTTTCTCAAAAATGCTATGCAAGGATTTATTAAAAACAAGTTTTAACCTACTGAAACAACTAATGGAATATTGCAGAAATAAATTTTATGGAATGAAACTTCTATGTTTTTAGACATGAAAATCAACATAAGTATATGCCAAAATTCAGCATTTGAAACCTCTCCTACAGTTTTGATGCATCTATGTGATTTATATTAGAACATTCTACTTCAACACTTGTTCTGACAAATCTAATGATGACTATGTAAAGGACAGAACATTATCCACATTGAACCCTAACATCACTGAGTTTCTTTCACAGCTTGCTGCTCTGTAATAATAGAAATAGAGTGCCAGTGCCTACTATTTCCCTTCGAAAATTAAAAACTCGCTATTCACTAAAGCTATAGGTAGAACCGTTATGCCAATGCCCAATACCCATGCTGTTCTGGCCAATAACAAAGGTATTGCATCAATCTCAGAAGTTTTTATGAAAATAAAGTGACAAGAGTTGAGAGCAAATCAGGAACTTACTTCCATTGGAACATCTAAGGTGGTGACAACAGCAACTTTCATAATTTCGAAGACTGCAGTTGCATCTTCAGTTAGTAACTGAAAAATAACCACAGGATAGTCAATCAACCAACCAAATAGCAAGTTCAAATCCATAAAAGATGTTTTACAACAAAAAAAGTACATGAATTTCACTGAGAACTAATTGAGCATCAAAATGTGATGTCTCCCCTGAGTCCTCATTTAGCTGTGATTTACTACTTGTGAGATGGATGCCCCTGACATTGTTCTCAATCATAAGATCTTTGCCTCCGTACATATACTTCACATCAAGTTTTGGCATACTGAAGCTAACCTTCCAAAATACAAATAGGTCTTGTTAATTGATGTTCAAGCTTCAACCAGGCACACTAATTACTATCAGAATCTTTTTCTTAACAAAATATAAATCACAACTTCCTCCACAGGAAAATTATCAAAATCCACCCTCCACCAGAAATATAAATTCATGAAAATTTTCAAGTAACTAAAACGAAATTTGGTTTAAGAAGCACAACTTGAGCACGCTATAGAATGAAGTACTAATGAGTATATCTACAAAGAAAAGATTAAATGATCATATGCACATGATTATGAATACATGACAACCAGGTAAAATAAAGTGCAGTTAACAAATGATTAAACAGTTGTATTAAGTTCTCATTATCCTCATACCAGTTTCAATAGTCAATGCAGCAGCCTAACTTTCCAGGTGCTGCTGGCACCAGTATGGTACCAGCACATCTTGATACCAACACATGGCACAGTCAACCATGCCAGTGGTACATAGAAAAATTAATTAACAAACAAAAAAAGCACATAGAAACATTCATCTGAAAATTTTAAATTAAAAATATCCTCTTACAGAGATACCCACCTTACCAATGCTCTCTAGTGATTAGCAGCTTCTTCTAATTCACATCTTAGGTTGGTGCCTATGAGAGTCTGGAGACCCTGCCAGAAGATGACTGATGGGGAGTGCTGCCAGACAAAATGGCAGATGGATGCAGGGAGATGAATGGAAGAGAAGAAGAGAGAAGGTAGGTATTCGATGGATCGCAACAAGATTTTCAAAAAATTTGACTGGTTCAGTCAAAACAGGTCACTTAGAAATGGGATTCAACATCCCAAGATACCGCTCAAATTGATGGGTATATTTCGCCAATGTAGACATTTCCTCATAAATTCTCCATCCTTGACCAAATATAACCAGTAAATATAAGTACATGATGAAGCCTTTTTCTGTAATATAGTGGTTTAACTTCAAGGACCTGATATGAAAGAAAGCTCAAATAATAGTATGTCTATCTTGACTAGTAACACCTATATAACAATCTCTCAGTAAAAACATTAATTTAAAATAGGACTATCGTATTAGGCATGTTGGTTAACTCTAATTAATAACCATCTGCATGCTGTCAATTCTAATTACTAATACATTGGAAGCATTTTATGCCAAAAGCACTCTTTCCTAATACATAGCTATCATCTTGACTACTAAGATTGCCTGTCATCTCTATTCCTGAACTGTTTAAGCATCATTCTAGCTAGTTAATTTTGTAGTCAGTGTTTTACTCCATAGGTATATGACCAAAAACCACATTTTATGATAAAAAGCAATACAGGTGCATAAGATGCAATAATAGCAAATTGATGAGAATAAATGTTACAACTATATGCTGCTTCCAATACACAGGAAAAAAATTCCTGAGTTGTTAAACGCTTATCATCTTTAGAAGTCATTTTCAGCTTAGGAAATCAGCATAAGCTTCCTAAAATTGTCCCAACATTGTCTTAATCCAATTCATAGTCAAAACATACATTCTAACAAGGTATGCAATTTCGAATAATACCGTCAGGTACGAGTAGTACGTACCGGTCCGTCAGCTGACCGGTACACGGACCGCCCCTTACCAGACGGAACGAAATATATATATATATATATATATATATATATATATATATATTTATTTATTTATTTATTTATTTATTTATATATAAATATATATAATCTTATATATATATATATATATATAATATAAATAAACTCAGCGATGTCGCGTCGCCTCGGCGATATTCTCTTTTATAAAAAATATATATATAAATATATATAATATTTTATATATAAATATATATATATATATATATATATATAAACGAGGCGACGTCGACCCGCTTGAGAGGAGAGAAGCAACGTCGCCGAATTTTATATATATATATATATATATACCAAGCAGTATACCGGACGGTATACTGCTCGGAATACAATATCATACCGTATCAAGTGAACATCGAAACTTCGGTACGGTACGATATTGCATACCATGCATTCTAGGCTTTTGTAGGAGACATACATACCCTTTAAGAATCAATCCAACTCTGTACTAACAAAGATAGCTTTGACCTAGAGTAAACCCACAAAGGTCTATGGCTGATCTTGCTTAATTTAGGCAAAGTCAGCATCACAATAATTAATATGATATGACCCTCCTATCAGCATTTTTCAAGGTGAAAAAGCCTCCTAAATCAAAATTGAACGTAACTAATCTATATTATTGTATAACATAAAAAACCAATCTCATGGCAAAGCCTCTAGGGTTTTCAATAAATCAAATAACCAAATAGAGATCAAGATCAAGTATACAATCAACTCAACCTAAACAGAAAGTAGAATATGGATGAAAATACATGAATATATTATAAAAAACACAAATTCCAATAAAGAGACCCTTGTTTAGGGTTCCCAAGTTCAAGCCCTCACGTAAGTGGTTGACGATAGAGAGGTTCCAATGGCAATGGTACCAAAAAGGTACAAAACTTAAATATGAACAGACTACTATAGTTACTCTAGATTTAGAAAGTCAAGTTTGCGAATGATCCTATTATCTAATAATCTTAATCATGTTTGATGAAGTTTGTTGGTGCAACAGACAGCATTTTAATTTATAAATTATTGACAATAGCATTGATTTTGATAAAAGGTGTCAGTTAGAGAGCCTATTGCTCATGAGTATATACCTAAGCCATTATGAGTTATGTTCAACATTTTCCATTGGCTTTTAAACAAGGACCATGCCTTCAGAAAAGAAAAATTATTATTATCACATCTAGTATACTAGTCCAGCAATTTACTTTTTCAATAATCCTTTAGATATTCTAAAATGTAATAAATTATAACTATATCAAACTACATATGATCATTGTTCCATTATAAAGGCAGCATTATACAAGTCCAAGCATAATCAAAATGTACCTAAAAAACCACTTACAATCATTTCTCTTTTTACTTTGGTTCTTATTCCTGTTCTAATATTAAAGACCAAAACCCAAAGGAAAATAGAAAGAAAGGTCAAATAATTCACTTATTCCTTCTGATGGTCCATGTCCATCTTTGGGGTACACGATTACTTAGTCGACACCTCAATGTAAAAGAATCAACCATCGCTTGATCATTCTCAAAGAGATTAAGACCATGAAAAATCATTCACCAAAAATTAAGAGGCAAAGAAAAATCAAAGAGGATGTATATTATTTTTCTATTTGTATAATTTTATATCTTTCAGGATTTTTATCCCACTAGATGCATGCCTACATCAATTTAATAATAGTATTCCAAATTCGGCTATGTTGCCTCATATGAATATCCTGTTGTTTAACTATCCAAAACATGGTTATCAATGTGATGTGATTATCTATGTAAATCTTATCCTACATGTGTTGTCCTCTGTAGTCTGTATAGTTATTCATATTTTTCCTCATTGTTATTACTCTTTTAAATTTTTAACTAATACTAATATTTGGTACTACTACACATGGTCCTCTATAATATAGCATTCATCACTTCGATCTTTATTCATTGAAAATAACATATCATTTAAATAAACTCTTAAATGAGAATAACATCATCTTAGAATTTTAGATTTGCTCATAGCATACCTATGACTTAGGCTTGAATGCATCTTACTGTATATAAAGTTAATGTTTTTATATATCTTATCTGATTGCATATTTGGATATATGTTTCTGCATACCACATATGCATCATGCAACCAGTAGCGCAAATACTGTTGGTTGTTTCCGAAAGCATTGCATGATATTATGCATACTTGGCAATAGAAAATACTGGTCTGAATGTCAATTAGCATGGGAGATATTGCTCAAAATTTTTCAAATCTTTCCTTGCATGTGATGGCTTGTTCAGCTACACTAAGTATCCAGTAAAAAAACACTATAATGCCTATAAATATCAATTAACAACCATTTAAGTAACCTAACAAAACAATTGGATTGTGCATTTGTGTTAAGGGCCGAAGGAAATATTAAGACTTGTAAAAAACAATGGGTTGACAAAGATACAAGACAGGAAATGAACAAATAGTACAGAATACAAACCTTTTCTGGAAATGCAAAAATATGCTTCTTTATGGATAGGGAGGACTTGTTTTTCTCTGATGTTTTAGATAATATATCCAATCTAGCCCCTTCAGTTGCAGTGGTGTCAGAAATAGTCTCCAAATTTTTATCTGTTCTGAGAAAGAGATCTTCATTAATGTGCACTGCTACATCACCACATACCATGTCCAGATCACTGATTTTGATGCCTTTCTCCCTATGGCAAATAGACATAGATCTCAATTTGTTTCATGAATTAATCAATCATGTTGTTTAGCATAACTGATGGTTAGAAGGACAAAAGTAAGCCACACAAGGTATCTCAAATACTGCTAATGCATAATTCTGTCAGAAGATACAAAATAGGTGATTTTTTTATAATAGACACACTGAACACATAATACATATTTCACAAGCCATACATTTGTCCTGCTTTTATGAAGTTCTTACTTTTGGTAGGTAGCTACTAACAACTATGAGATATGAATTTGGATTATGAGATCTAGCCACTAAAGTGTCTATATATTTATAGTCAGATGATTGTCAAATAAGCCTTCTACTTGAAATAGGACGCACCTGTCATGACCAAAATCACAAGAAACAGACAAATCCTCGCAAAGAAAAGAATTCTTTTCCATAACAGATGGATATGGTTGTTCAGCTTGCAAGCATTCTTTTTGACTAAAATTCAAAGTATGATCAAAACTGAAGTGTGGATCTCCTAGCTGAACAAAAAGAGGTACAAGGTGCAACTTGACAGAAAGAATCTGATTTGATTGTGCTCGAGAAATGTCCACCTTCAGTTCTTTTACTTCAATAACAGCTTTTGGTACCTACACAATTTGACCAAACATGAAGCATAAAATGACACAAACAATACACTACAATAATGAATTATTAGAATTAGAAAAATAAACCTATATGCAATTGTGCAAATAGGGTTTGAGACTTCTCTCTTTTAACAGTAAAATTTCCTGTAGTGTACGTGCGCAAGCATCAATCTGTATAGTTTGATACTATATACTCTTGTCCAAAAGCACATACCTTAATAACGAAATCTGTAACAGAAATTGATAAAAGTCTCGCTACGCTAGTTAAGAGCATCCACTTTCCTTTTCCAGCTGAACGAGGTTTCTCCACCTTACTTGCCTTATTTCCCCTTTTACTTTGCTGCAAAGGCCTTAATACAACTTCAAGATCACAAATTAACAACTGTAATTTAGGATCCCTAGAGATAAAGCCAAACCCCAGCTTGACCAATGATTTACGGAAACTGAGTTTAATTTCACCAACCGATAATGTTTCAACAGAGCCCTGAAAAAAAAAAGTCACCAGTTAACTTTAGAACTTAGACAGTAATTACATATATAGAAGCTGAATTATGAAAAAATATTTGACAAATAAATGAAATACAATTTACCGAAGCACAAATCACAATACAATGGTGACTGCCATAACAAAAAACCAAGGATTGAATATCGTACCATACCGGAGTTTCGATATTCGCTCGGTACAATAAAGTACTGTATACCGAGCGGTATACCGAACATATATATATATGTATATATATATATCACACGAGACAATGTCGCAGTTTTTTTTTAAACTTGTATATATATATATATATATATATATATATATATATATATATATATATATATATATATATATATATATATATATAT